CTCAACTATTTTAACAAGATTGAGTAACGTACCCTCGTGAAAGATAAAATATTCAGAGAAGCGCTCATAAAATACCCATACTTATTCCTTACACATCTATCTTCAAAACTTTAGGTTTGAAAGATTTTTCATAAGCATTATGTTACTTGTGACCTTGGCCTTAGATCTTTGATGTAACATTTTCAGTGTATTCTTCATTTGGTAGTTAGAGTGTGTGCATTGAATAAACATTTAAGTAACCATAATAATAAAGTTAGAACAAGTATTAGCTTGAAAAGTTGGGCAAGGTTGTTTACTAAGGTACATGCAAGGTTTCATCATTCTAGGCAAAAATATAAAACTGTTATGGAAAATGTCCCAAATATGCCAAAGAAAAAGTCGGTTTGGTTACAATAAATAGATTCAAGTAATATCATCATTAGATGGAAAGGTTAGTTAAGTCAGTCACAGTGATAGCGCATCATAATACATTTACATCAAATAGAGGACATCAAAATGGCTGACACGATAAACGTGATTGTGAGATTTCTGATTGTGAACCTATGGCAATTACAAGTATCAGTCATCATGGATCAGTTGACGAAGTGCTGAAAGGTGATGCATATGATGTGTCAAATAGATACAAAGTTAAATTTCTAGATTGCTGTAGACTATCCCTTGTCAGTCTAGACACAGATCAAGTCCGTAATTTGGATGTGCATTTCTTGGTATATGTGATGCTGTACCTTTGACAGTTTGATTTCATTGTTATCTAAAAAGCAACAAGAGTTGCCCCCGCCCCTGTTACAGAATTTATGACTTAATTAAATCTAAACAAACCCTAACCTTTTTTAACCGAGGTGGAACTTGTTGTCTTGGAAATTGTAAAAAAAATAAGAGTTTGCCACTAATGTGGCCAAGTCTCTTGCCCAGCAAATGAAGTGTATATTATGTCAACAATAGTGAAATTTGATCACACAAACTCATACATTTCAAAATATTCAAAATTTTGTAAGGTGTAAAAGGCAGCAGGGGAGCATCTACTTGATGTTAAAGCAAAATATCCTGAAGAAACGAATTAAATGCTGCAAAACACAATTTGTATAAAGTTCAAGAAAAAAAATGAAACCTTCTCCACAAAAAAAACATGATGGAAGTACAAACTGACAAAACCAGTTACTACATTTACTACTGAATTCATAAGGGTGGGAGAAAGAAAAAACATTACAAGTCATGTTACCGGCACTCACCACGAGAAAGTAGGCTGCCACGAGTGCCACACACATTTTATGTTGTGGCTTTTTAACAATATGGTCAAACCATGTGATATGATAAAGTCAAAAAATAAAACAAGGCAATATTATAAATGTGAATGTTAAAACTCTACAGCACAAAAGTCTTCATATCAACATGTGCTGAAAACTGTAAAATGTACCATAGAGAAGTATGCCATCTTATCGCACACTCATCTCTGTCATAATCAATGCAGAAGTAGGGATGATGGATTTGATAATGAAGTCATTAAACGAAAGTTACCCTCAACCATTATTGAGGCATATACAGACAACTTGGTAGAAGGCATGCACAGTTTCCTCTGCTATGGGAGATACCTCAAACACAAAATGTAGGCACAAAAAAACCCTTTATTATGACTTATAAGATTCCTTAAACAGGTTAAAAGGGTATCAAGATGAACTTTTTGGCATTTAAAAGAAGAATTCATTAATTTCTAAAAGTTCAACTTGTTACCAAGGAAAAATAAAAAAGATCTAAATTTCTAAAATTTCTAAATAGTGAAAGGCACCAGTTCAGCATGTACCTAACAGACCTGCAAAGTTTGATGAAAAAATATTGAACGGTTGATGAGTTATGCTCCGGAAACGAACCCTACCCTCACAGAACCTAAGTCCATCTTGTTGCCACGGAAACATAAAAAATAAAAAATTTTAAAATTTCTAAATAGCAAAAGGCACCAGTTCAGCATGTACCTGACAGACATGCAAAGTTTCATAAAAAAATATTGAATGGTTTATGAGTTATGCTCCAGAAACAAACCCTACCCTCACAGAACCCAAGTCCATCTTGTTGCCATGGAAACGTAAAAACACCAGACATGCAAAGTTTCATCAAAGCTATAGCTGTGACGTCAGAGTGGAGAGACATCTGCAATTTTCTTTCTTTAACAGTGCATTAATCTGCATGACAAGAAAATGATCTTCCGTTATTCCAGCATATTGAGGACGCAAAATGGGGTATTGTGTTGTGTGAGGGTTTACTAGTTCATCAAACAAAAGTACCAAGTGATTCCAGCGGGGAGGAAAATAGAAACAGACTGGACTTTCAATTTTTTATTTTTTATGTTTCCGGAGCAGAACTCAAAACCCATCCTAAACTTTCTAACAAAACTTTGCATGTTTATCAGGCACATACTGAACTGGTGACTTTTGCTATTTAGGAATTTTATCAATTTTCATTTTTTATGTTTCCATGGCAGCATGTTGGATTAAAGTTTTAATGTAGTAGTTTCACTTATGGAGAATAACAAATACACTGTTAATTATATCCTTGCAAAAAATCGCATGTCTGTATATAAAGCACATACTGAACGAGTTTTAGAAATGTTTATTATCCCCCACCCAACGAAGTTGGCGGGGGATATAGAAACGGGCTCCGTCCGTCCGTACTTCCGTCCGTCTGTCACGTTTCGTTTCCGGAGCATAACTCATAAACCGTTCAATATTTTTTCATCAAACTTTGCAGGTTTGTCAGGTGCATGCTGAACTGGTGCCTTTTGCTATTGAGAAATTTTATAAATATTTATTTTTTACGTTTCCATGGCAACAACATGGACATGGTTCCAAACTCATCTTTTTTTTACAATTTCCATGACAAGTTCCACCTCGGTTAAAAAATGTTAGGGTTTGTTTAGATTCAATTATGTCATAAATTCTGCAACAGGGGCAGGGGATATAGGCACGTTAGTGGCAAACTCTTGTTTTAGAATTTCCATTGCAGCTATTTTGACATGGGGTAAGAGAAATGTTGGGTCAGTGACCTGGTTTGGGACCATAATGTGTTAAAATGGGTGGGGCATATAGATGACTTCGTCGACTATATGCTTGTTACATTTTGAGGCACCTGTCTATGAGAAATATCCACCCAAACTAAAAGAACTTGGCTACAAAAATAACTTTAGCATTCATTGTTTAAAATTATCCATGACTGACTACCATCATACAACAATTACAAAGGACAATGCAAATTGATCAAATCACATGCTGAGGCAATATATTTGGCACAGTTTGGGTGAACATATATTGACATATTCAGTTCAAGGTCTTGCACACTTGAAAGTGTCTCTTGTCTCTTGAAAAAGTCTCTTGTTGCTCTCTCAGTGTGGGCACAGGCATTTTCATGCTGAAACTCATGGTTGCAGCCACATGCCAAATGAGGTATGGCATGTGGTCTCAAGATTTGATCAATGTACTGATCTGCTGTGACACCATTGCCTCTCCCTGGACCAATGTTCTGGAAGACCACAGGGCTGGTGCTGTGTTGCCACTGAAGACGGTCCCGGCGATGACGTGGTGTCAGAATGAGTCCTTGGTGTGGCCTGTGACAGTGGAGGTGTCTGCTCTTCAATCGTCGCTCCACGGTGTCCGCACTAATGTGTTGCTGGTGTGTCCCCATCATCTGTCGAGCAGTTTCCGCAGCAGTAACAAAGCGTTCTTGAAGATGCTATCGCACAATCTGACGATCCTGACATCGGGTAGTGACCCTTGGTCTTCCACTACATGGTCGGTCATCTGTAGTATTGGTGGTCTGGTACCGTTGCTGGAGCCTGTATATGGTCCTTACATGGACTTGACATGCATTGGCTACTTGCCGGGTGGTTTGTCCAGCTTCCAATCGTCCAAGAGCTTGGTGTCGCTGATTTCTTGTCAACCTTGGCATGTGGTAGCAATTCAATAACAAATGAATACTATCCGATCCGGGTGAATTTTTATAGGGCAAGAAATGGGGGAACGCATGTGCATTTCAATTTGCACGGAACTCACATGCATCGGGTTACCATGGCCGTTGCCATGATGTGTTTGGACGATCGGTTATATTGTCATCTGCTTTGTTTTTTTATCATCAAATTCCATTTTTCCGGACAAGGTAATGTTAAATTTTAGAAACTTTGACAAAAATTACTCCGACATTTAAATGACAACTTTTCATGCAATGTTATTTGGGGTGATGTTTGTTTTGCAGTTCAGTATATTATTTCAACTGCTGAAACCAACTGAACCGACCATCACCAGACAATACAATTAACAAATTACTTTCATTTGTGTTGAAAACAAATTATATAGCCATGTGCTAATTGTTTGGCATAAAGTCGTAAGCTTGCATCAATATACACCTGGTACATTTTACACAAGATTAACTGTCTCAAGATTTTTGTTGTTGATAAACCTCCATTTTATTTAGAAATGTGAGGATAGTGTTTAACACAAGATTGTGTTCCCTAGTCTTTCCGTGTTCACATCAGATTGATCGTATTCACTCGGTAGATCTTCCTTGATTTCACAATTTGATATGGACGAATATGTGTAAGGTCATTGAGCGAAAATTCACATTTTCATCGATGGCACTGTTTGGTGATGCCATGCGGAATGCTAGTTATCTGCCAAAGACTCTACAGAAACAGTGATCATCTGCAAATCATCTCTCCACTTTTACGTCAGGTCGTGTGATAATAACTGTTTAACTCGTGGTAGTTTCTGGACTACAAATATTTTTTTACAGTGGAAATGTCAATTGTTTCCTTTCACTTCATAACAAGGTACTTCTTATTCTGATTGAAAATTCTGTTTGTATAATTGTATCATAACTTGATTGCTTGATTTTTAAAGTATAGGAAGGGTCTATCATGATCTCACTTGTTCTTCAAGTTTCAGGACCATTGATACAATATTGATTAGTTTGAAGGGTATCTTTCTTTGTCTCATTAATTACTTCTTTTGATTTTATAGTCAATACTACTGCACTAACCGATGACATCTCGGAAATGGAAAGGCATTTTGAATCAGCAGATGCACTCTCTTCAGTCTGCTGTACTTTGCCAAGGAAAGAAGCAAAAATGACCACAATTGATACATACAAGCCAAAACTGAAACACTCAGTTTCTGAGGAGACAATGACAATTGTACCCAAGCTAAAGACGCTAAAGAAAAGTTCAATTTTCCATACTATATGGAAGAAGGAAGCTGCAAATGTCATACAGGGAACTAGCTTTGAAGACTCAGTAAAGCTGACCTGGCAGAGTGCCTCTCCGAAATGGGAAATGCTGTGCTCAAAGATAAGAGATGGAACAGAGACATTTAAAAATGTTCAAAAGCATATTAAAGATTTGGATAGTGGTGAAATCAAGGAAGAGTTCAATTTGATGTGTGATGGATCATCGCCAAAGGCGTGGGTGGATAGAAGATTGGAACAGTTGGATGGCTACAAACAGCTAGAATGTTATCAAACAACTGCAAAAGTAATTATGGACATCAGCAAGTCATATTCCTTTTCAGGAGACTTTGAACCTGTCAGGAAAATCAGTATGTTGGTAAGTATTTAGAGAATAATCAACGAGGCATGAGGAACAATCCATTATATGAGTCATTTTCAAAAGATGTCACTTTTTGAGTTTCCAAAATTACAAAATCCAATGGTTGATATAATATCTTTTTTTGGTTTAAATGGAGTAACAAATATCTAAGGCTGTCAGTAACATCAAATGGAAGTCTTAATGATGCTTTTTAGAAAGAGGAATAACCAGTTACCATGGCAACTGAAACTTGGCTTGTCTTTCCCATAACAATGTTTGTGTGAATTATTTTGGTTTGAAATTCATGAAAATGCAAAAAGCACATACGAAACATATTTATTTCTTCATATTTTTGTATATTAAACTTGAAGTGAGGATGAAGGGCATTTATTTAGTCTCTTAATGACCAATATGTACTCAGTGTCAATTCTATGAAATACTGTTACCCCTTCAACATAAATATTATGATTTCTAAATTTTCAAGATTTCTTGGAGGTTTTTTATTTGATGAACAAAGATAAACTGTGATTAACTTATGTCTCATTGCGGAAACTAAAGACATATTAAGATATATATATTTTTTAAATGAGTGCGTTATAGGAAAGACATGCATGTTACAGGATTGACTATATTTGTTACAGAAAAGACATTGCAAATTCATATCATCAGTATGCAAAGAGTGGTAAAGATTATCTTAAATGTTTCTCATGTACATAATAATGCTTGCAAAAGTAATACCAGTCATTATCTTTTTCAGTTATATTGATAAATTTATTCCAACTTTTTAAAGGATAAATTCTAAAATCTGTTACAGAAAGGACAAAGGTTTGTTACATGACAGAACAAATTACCATACAATGACATTTTAGATCACAAAGCAGTTTCCGCATTTTTACTGTAATAGCAAATGTGTTACTTTGAATAACAATGCACATGTTTGTTATATTTATATTTTTAAATGATTAATATGAAGAATGTTACCTATGACCTACATTATAACTGTTACAGGAAAGACCTAAGACGTTACAGTACTGACAATGTGAAACAAAGTTTTGGTCAGCCTAGTTAGTTCACTATCATAAGTAAACAAAGGTTTACCAAACAGGGGTACCACTAGATGTAGTTATAGTTACATTTCCATCTCATTGTGAAATCTCCAGATTGATGTGATAGAAGACAGTTATGGTGAAGACAACATTTTGTTTCATGAAAGACATTTAGAGAATAGTTTTCATGTCTTTTTATGGTTTCTATGATCAACAATCAAATCCAAAGTTTTTTAGGTTGAGTATAAATTTTACTAATATTGTGAAACACTGAAAGTATTTGGTAAAAGAATTGTGGTATACTTGAGACAATAAAGACTTGGTCAACTTGTAGAATGAACAATTCAGAAAATGTCAGAAAACACATGACCTACAATTAGAACACAACTTTCAACTGCAAGTAAGAATCTAAACTACAACCTGGAATGCAACACTTGAAACATCAAGCCATCTAAGAAGAAAGTTGAAAGATTATAGCTGTCTTCCCAAGACATTATACCCCTTCATAGTGGCTTTTAACTGTAGACCAAATGTTATTGTCAACCTCACAATGAGATGATTCTGGAGTCTTCTGTAACTTTGGGATGATTGTCTCCATCACTAGCCTCCTCATCTTCAGCCTTCACCTTCTCTCCATCACTAGCCTCCTCATCTTCAGCCTTCACCATCTCTCCATCACTAGCCTCCTCATCTTCAGCCTTCACCTTCTTTCCTTCACTAGCCTCCTCATCTTCAGCCTTCACCATCTCTCCTTCACTAGCCTCTCATCTTCAGCCTTCACCTTCTTTCCTTCACTAGCCTCCTCATCTTCAGCCTTCACCTTCTCTCTATCACTAACCTCATATTCCGCCTTCACCTTCTCAACATCACTAGCCTCCTCATCTTCAGCCTTCACCTTCTCTCCATCACTAGCCTCCTCATCTTCAGCCTTCACCTTCTCTCCATCACTAGCCTCCTCATCTTCAGCCTTCACCTTCTCTCCTTCACTAGCCTCCTCATCTTCAGCCTTCACCTTCTCTCTGTCACTAACCTCATATTCAGCCTTCACCTTCTCTCTATCACTAACCTCATATTCAGCCTTCACCTTCTCTCTATCACTAACCTCATATTCAGCCTTCACCTTCTCTCCTTCACTAGCCTCCTCATCTTCAACCTACACTTTCTCTCCATGACTAGCCTCCTCATCTTCAGCCTTCACCTTCTTTCGTTCACTATAGTTTCCTCATCTTCAGCCTTCACCTTCTCTCCATCACTAGCCTCATCTTCAGCCTTCACCTTTTCTCCATTACTAGCTTCCTCGTCTTCAGCCTTCACCTTTTCCCCATCACTAGCCTCTTCATCTTCACTTTCTCTCTATCTCTAACAGCATCTTCAGCCTTCACCTTCTCTCCTTCACTAACCACGTTTGGGGTAGATTGTGTATGGTGGTCTGTTCAAAACATTGGCCAAAGTGTGAATTTGCCAGATTCCCATAAAAGACTTGTCCCTCTTCACTTTGAGGGTTTTGAGTCGAAATATGCTTTGGACTATGTTGTCTGTGAGACAAGTTCCTGGAACATATATGTCAGAATAGTGAGCATAATGACGTGGCAAGTTATGTCTCTTTACACTGACATCCTTCCTTTATGCCTTGAGACTGGAAATTTCCATCAAGATCTTTGGCTTCATTGGCAACAAGTTCAGAGATTACCTTCACTGTCATTTCGTCTGCTCTGTCAATTGTCCCAAAAGCAAGTACACTGCCACATGATGGTGAGCAGTTACCATTTGATAACATAGTACAAGGATACAGCTCACCATTTGTCACTGCCATGGTTAATTTAGTTGTACAGTTCCACTCTGAAATTCCACTTTGGAGTTGCTTTGTATTCCAGTCAAGCAAACATTGCTATTCAGTAAACCTTCATGAAATCAGCATTAGTGAATTTCAAATTATTTTGATGATGTAATGAAATCTATACATTGTCATACTTGAGTGTTTGTCTTTGCCAACAAAGACCTTTTCAGAAAATAAAGAAGCGTGGAGAGTTGAATTTTAGTGCAGTGAAGAAATGTTTTTCTCCAAAACTCGTATTCTAAAACTTGTTTGACCTTTTAAAATAGAAAATACCCATAAGCTATTAGGTACTTCATGATCACTGCCATGATTCTATATTAAATGTAAAGTTTGTCTTTTCTATAACCATGGTACCATATTAACTCCGAAATCATAAACACTTATTTTAGCAAGCTTAGGAACAAGTAACTAAAATCTCATTGATCCCTTTAGTACCATATATCATCAAACATAACAGAGAGTAGTTACTTTGATTCTGATTGTCTTATGGAAATGTAGAATATCATTACTGAAGCAAAACTGTCTTTGCCGTAACCCATTTCTTATAACAATTAGGTGTTTCAATAATTTTGCATAAAATGATGAAGCGCAAGTTTATCCTACAAACTGCTTGATTGAAATAATTAATTAGAATATTGAAAAAGAACAGAGTAATTTACTTTGCTTCTTTATAACTTTTCAATTGCAAAATGTCATTACAATAACAAAATATGTCTTTACTGTAACACATTTCTTATAAAAACCATATGTTCTGACAATGTTGCTCAAAATAGTAAAATACAACTTTGTCTTTCAAACTGCTGAATTAAAATATTCAGTTGGAATGTTGAAAAAGAACAGAAAGTAATAGTTTTCTTACTTTATAGCTTATTAAGTGAAGAAAGTCATTACCATAACAAAATCTGTCTTAGCTGTAACAAAAATTAGTGTTACAGGAAAGACTGTTACAGGTAAGACAAATCATTAGATAAAAAATTATACTGACTAATTAATGGTCACTTCATGAAGCTGAATGTTCACACAATTTTCTGTTCATGAATTGGCACATAATCTTGGATCTTGAAATAACTATTTTGCATCTGTTCCATTGAATCATAGCGTTATGGGAAAGACATGAAATGAAAATACTCATCATTTCCTTACCTTTTTGGTTAACTTTTGTTGCTTATTTGTCTCCTGGTGCACATGGCACATCACACTCCTATTGTATAGGAAATAGTACTAGACATGACAGAAAGTACTGATATCCTTGCATTAGGGATCATTGATTATTCCAAAGTTTTATTAAGTGTTACAGGAAAGACACAAAATCTAAGGACGGTGTTATATATAATCATAATTCAGGAATTATATCAGTTAGATTGAAATTACACACTGAAATTCCTAAATGAATCTTGTTTTTATAAGATAACCACAGTAATATTATATATATGCCAATATTTATAAAATGACAGTTTCTCAAATTTGAAGCTAAATATACTGGGACAGCCAAAAATGCACTTTCTACCCATTTAAAACGCATCAAAAACACATAATATGACACAATGATTGAAAATAACCATTTTACTAGATGCATTACTTTGCAGGTGATAATCTGTACAAATTGCAAAGTCAATATATTTTTTGTAAATTTTGTAATGGGTTCGGACAGAAATAGTGACATCTTTTGAAAATGACTCATATAGTACCTTAAATGTGAATGAATGAATGAATGTAAATCCTGAGCCTTTCACGGATGTACATCCTGAGGCTTTCACTGATGTACATCCCAAGCCTTTCACTGATGTACATCCTGAGGCTTTCACTGATGTACATCCCGAGCCTTTCACTGATGTACATCCTGAGGCTTCTACCAATGTACTTCCCGAGCCTTTCACTGATGTACATCTTGAGGCTTTCACTGATGTACATCGCTAAAATGCAAGTTGTTACACTGAATCTTTCAACACAAATAGGTGTCATTCAAATATTCCAAACTGTGATACTGTTCCAAGTTGTATTGAACACAACTCACACATTAGTATGTTCTCAATTTGAACTGCCAAGGTGTATTGTAAAGTAAAATGTCCCTTGAATATTTTAGCACCAATGGAACTGATATCTTTTAAGGTTAATGACTCAATACCTGTTGAGAGTAAAAATATGAATATTACAGCGTAAAAATATGAATGTTACATTCTGTAAATATAGTTATCTATAGTTTTAACAGATCAGGATTAGAATGGTTCATAACTTTAGATTAAAAACTGCTTTATTTTCAGGGACGCAGTGATGAACACCAAATGAAGAAACTTGACAAAAATGTGCTGGAAACCTGTGAAATATTAAGGGGAATAAATGACCCTAACAAACAAAAATGTATTAGAGCTTATGAAACCTGTCATGCACTTGTGGAGTGGCTGCAGACATCAATGACAGGTATGTGTTACATTTTATTATACCCCTACCTAAAAAGACAGGGGTATACAGTTATACTAAGGAATTCCGTCTGTCCTTCTATCCGTCCTCTCTTCCACAGACATTTTTATGTGCGAGCTATAACTTGAAAACTACCTCATAGATTCTTTTCAAACTTGGTGAACACTTTCTATACCAATAAGAGAGGTTCAGTGCGAAGCTTGATTTCAGTATTAGATTTTTTGAAAAAATAAAGCTATTTTTCGTTGTTTTACTTAAACATTTGTGCAACGTAAAACTACATTGATGGATTCTTTTTAAGTTTAGGGATCAGTTTCCATACTAAGGGAAGAGGTGCAGTACAAAGTTTGTATTTTGATATGTATATTTTCTGAAATAATATGATTTTTTTCAATGTTTTGAACTTCAACATTTGTGTGACCTATAACTTGAAAACTACTTCATGGATTCTTTTCCATTTGAGGGTACAGTTTCTATGACAGGAGAAGAGGTACAGTGCAAAGTTAATTTTGATAAGTGGATTTTCTGAGAAAATATTGCTTTTTCATGTTTTGAACTTAGAAATATGTTGGAGTCAAGGTTGGGGGTATTTGTGAGCCCTGTTCACTTGTTGCCTTGTTTTTGTAACATTTCACCAACATTTTACCAAATTTTGATGAACTCACTTAGGAGATAGGTCAGACTAAAAAATCATCCAAATGAGTCCATATTAGCAAGATCACATTGCAAGTACTAATACTGGTTTCCTGATGATAACATGAACAAATATTGATGTTTAACTGGTACTCAAAGAAAAAGAGACCTTGCATTGTTAATATGTGGGTAACCATATACTGTAAAACGTGAAATTAATGCGCGCGTGAATTAAATGCGAATAATGCGAGTGGTTTTTGCTCGCATTATTAAACATCGCATTTATATCAACAATAAGACATTTTGGATAGCAGAAATACCAACTCAGACATACGCTGAAAACAAATAACTATGTATTCCACATCACTGTTTATTGAGCAGCACTTGTAACAAGTATACTCACATGCAAAAGAAACGCGAGTGGTTTTAAGCAAATAGGTAACAAACACGGAACCATAAATTGATACGACATTTAGCATGTAGTGAAGCCTGATGGTGTTATCAATATTTTTGGTTGCATTTTGGAAGCCCCGAGTAAAAACGCACCATTTCAATGAATATGTGGGTATCATGCACCCATTTTTCGCGAAATTGAAAATGCACGAACTGTCATGAACTGTAGTTGGTATAAAACTGTGGCCGATTTTTGGACCTACCACTCCTTGGTCAACAATGCCACACCTAACTCAAATTCAGAGAAACCAGGCTATCAGACGTTTGGAAGCTGGAGAGTCTGTCCAAGATATTGCCCGTCATTTCAACGTTAACATAACCACAATTTACCGTCTCCTGCATCGATACAATGCTACACAGACCACAGATGACCTTCCTCGGAGCGGTTGTCCTAGGGTCACCACACCTCGACAAGATTGGTAGATTACCCGTCAACACCAGCGACATCCGTTCCTAACTGGAAGTGAAAGTTTTCGACAGACCATAGGAACACATAATCGACACATTAGCCGGGACACTGTGATCCGACGTCTCCATTCCAACAACCTCAGATGTCCCCGACCAGCACGTTGTCCTGTTCTCCAACCACGGCATCGCGTCATGATATGGGCAGGGATTGGACTTAATGAGAGACTTGGACACGGCGTCACTGCTCAGCAGTATATTGACCAAGTGATCAGACCCCACCTTGTTCCATTTTTTGCACATCAACCATACATTTTCCAGCGGACAACGCTCACCCCCATGTGGCCAGAGCTACCATGGCCTTTCTGCAACAACACAACATCCGTGTTCTACGCACAGCTGCTCTGGATGTGTGCAGGAGGATCCCTAGGGCTTTCACAAATCGTCTGATCCACTCAATGTACTGGAGATGTGTGGCAGTGATCAATGCTAATGGCAGTCACACCAGGTATTGACTGACATTTTGGGTATTGACCCGAAACTGTGTAAAGCCCTTAACATTTGAAAAAAACAATTATGTCATCTGCCTTTTAATCCATTAAACTGTCTTCAGATAAATTTTTGTCAATCTTGCCCTATTAGTATTTCTTGTCTTTACTGTTCAAAATAAATAACATGTATACTGCATACTCGACTTGCGTTTCTTTTGCGTGTGAGTATATATAAACAATGCCATTCAAACACTAATTACATCCTGTGAATTGTCACTTCTGGGGTCAAGACAAGCGTTCTACTCACTCATGTCATCACTGATGACACCTGTCTTTGCTCTTTGCGACTGCATCAAAAGGCAGACACGAGCCAGCGCGCACGTATTGTTTTAGCTGAAGTACTCTACTCAGCGCTAATAAGCGGTGCTATTTGGTGTGTGATTGGATTAATGTAAGGATGGATTAAGGTGGGGATTCTCCTATAAACCTGACAAAGGACATTTTGTTTAGATATAAATCCACTGATGCTTGAGAGGAGGGGGTGTCGCATTCATATTGAGTCGCATTTTTTGCTAGGGGCCAGGGATCACATTATTTTGGAGACGCATTCATTTCATGTTTTACAGTTTTATTGCTTTTGAAGTTTAAGGGAAAGTGTATTGCCATGTTTTGTGAAATTGAAACTGATGTGAATAGCAACTGTTTTATGTTAATTTCTAATGCTGAATACTCTGTACATAGCCATCAAAAATGTGAATTGATAGGGTTTTAAAAAATTGAAAACGGGGAAATTACTATTTCCACAAATATAGTGATAATATTAGCCAGAAAAAATAATGAATAGGGTAAAAGTTGTTCAGCAGGTACTTTTTAATTGTACTGATGAAAAGATACCTATCCAATGATGATGGTATTGATGCTATGGTGACATATTTGAGTCTTCAGATGGGCATCCTTGAGTCACCAGATAAGTTAAAATGAGATCTGAATGTAAAATGGCACCATTTATATTATTTGATCTGTATACAGAAACCAAACTCTATTTTACCATTTACCAAACATTTATTCAACAGACTATATTTGCCAGTTTAAAAAAAATTCAAACCATGTAATACTATTCAATATACATTCTCATCCTGTACATTGATAAACTTGTGAATGATATTGTAAACACTGATTGTAGTGGTATTTTTGTAGACAAAATTTTACAGGCATTATCAATTTTGTTATTTGTGGATGAGGTTGCAATATTTGCAGATAATGTTAAATTTGGCAGAAAAAGATAGATGTTTTATATAAATATTGTGCTAAGTGGGTAGTATCTATAAATACTAACAAAACTAGTTGTTAGGGCCAGAAAGACTTGGAAGTAGTATCATACTACAAATAAGTCTTGCAAATCCTCTACCTCTATTACATCTTTGCCATAAATCCTGTATTTTGGCTTCAGTCACACTAACCAAATAAATTCAAAATACCAATACGGTCACTCGGAGGTGGAAGCAGACTTTTATGAAGTCATTATTAAATCAGGCTGACGACTCACTCCAGCATGATTATACGCAGGGATATACTTTTGTGGAACTCATAGAGGATTTATATCATCTCATGCCTGTACTCCAACCTCCTATGACAGAAAATTCGCCAGCTAAGATGCCAGTGTATGGGGGATGTCATGCTCCTACATCATCTCAACACATCAACCAGACATTGCCTTGGCTTAGTAGACCAGCTGTCGGAAAGTCTACTCAATCTCAGGAAAGTCTACTCAAGCTTCACAGATTAAGGATATGTCCTCGGTATCCAGATATTATATGGACACTGGCGCTTATATCAACTGGTTTGTTGTCGGAATCATTCGAACCATTACAGACATCATATGAAGGCATACCTGGACAGACTCCTATGACTATTAGGATAGATTAAGTCGGATTCATCCACAGCCTGCTAGACACCATAGTCAGAATGCAGGAAGACTTACTCTCCACCCAAGTCTGGATATCTCCACAGCTATTATGGATCAACAACTACTAGCAGAGATTCGTTCAAGAGCTGTTTCTAGCCTAACCAACAAGCTGATAATGTCACAACCAATTTCTGCTCCAAAGACAAATACGGACAAATTGGGACATGATGAAGTCAGACAAGATACAACGGAATGATTCCAAGCATCAACTATCAGCCTAGCTGCCAAGGCACATGGATCTTCCCTTCCCCAGAAACGTCCCTGGGATCAGAAGGACTCGTCATATAAACAGCCTCACAAGAATAAGTTTGTCCCCCCCTCCGTGTCGGAGGTACGACAAGCGTCAGTCTTCTCAGGAATCTTTTCATCAGTCTGACTACAAGAAACAAAGATCCTATTGCCGGGGCAGATCAGGGGACTACAATTTATGCCTACTGTCTTTCAACTAACATAATGCCGACTCTGGGGCCAGTGGGAGGGCGTCTTCTGTCGTACGCCGAAAATTGGAAGCAGGTTACGCCCGACCGCTGTCGTGGCTCACAGATACAAACTGCATTTCAAGAAACATCCTATCTTGAAATCTCAAGCCGTCGGACGCAGATTTCATGTAGTCAGAGCCAAGCCAGCGGCAGCAGATCTGGCCGTCAGGAAGCTACTAAAGAAGCAAGCCATTCAGAGACTAGCGGAGACCAATAAGACCAAAGCTTAAATTTTTCAGGTATTCCTAGTTCCGAAGAAGAATACGACAGACATGAGAATGATAAGCGACCTAAAGACCCTCAACTGGGTCATCGTTCACAACACCAGACCAGTCGTCACTTTTTTCATGGGGATCAACTTGCCCCTACACCGGCAACATCACAGTTCCTACTCAGAACTCAGACACACCTCTGGTCTGTCAACCACAGGGTTCACAGAGGATTGGCTGTGTGTGGAGCTTGAACCTAGTCGATTCAGCATACGTGATTACAGTTTACTGCACAGGAAGAATTACATGTCATGTGTCAAGACTGACTGTAAACATCTGTGACCGTAATCAGGTCAAATGACCT